GCCCTCAGCATCGGCCTGGGCATCGGCCTCCACCGCCTCCTCAGCGTCGATAGCGGCGCCTTCTTCTTCGTCATCGCCATCTTCCTCACCCTTTTCAACACCGCAACCCCTGTGGTTATCCGCGCCCTCGACGAGCTCAAGCTCGCCATGACCGACATCGGTCGGCTGGCGATATCCACAGCGCTCGTCACGGACCTCGTGTGCGTCGTAATGTTGTCCGTGATAGACTTTAACGTCTGGAACACGCTGTCAGCTGTCAAGAACCACATCGTGTCCCGATTTATTGTAGCTGCTCTCTACCTTTCGGTACTCGCGACCGCCATCTACTTGATGAGGCTCGGCGTGAACGCGCTGAACAAGCGAGACATGCACAGGAACGAGGTCGAAGATGACATGGTTTTCTACCTCCTGATCATCCTATTCCTGGTGACGTGGTTCGTGCGACGTACCGGATTGGACCCCATCCTTGGGGCGTTCGTGCTCGGGATGGCGATGCCGAGGGAAGGGCCCACGGCGAGGACGATGGTCCATCACTTGACATTCCTCGTGCATAGTTTGATATTGCCGGTGTTTTTCGGCCTCGCGGGGCTGCAGTTCGACTTTGGCCTGTTGAATCACAAGGAGGCGGTGATCATGGTGGCGCTCGTGGTGTCGCTCGGGATGGCCGGAAAGATCGGAGGAACGATGATTGGAGCGAAGTTTCTAGGCATACCGGTGCAAGACGGCTTGGTCCTCTCGCTGCTGTTGAATGTCAAAGGATACATTGATCTTGTGGTCGTCCAGGCGGGACGAAAGAATCAGGTAAGCACCAATTGCGTAGCACATACACTGCTCTCTTAATTTTTTAAGTCCGCCTACCGACTCATAATTTAGTGTAGAAGAGGAAGAAGAAGAAGAATAATACAAGGTATTTGAATATACGCAGATCTTTGGTGACAAGACCTACATGGCGCTCCTCCTATCCCTATTCATCAACAACGTAATTGCATCTCCAATGAACGGCCGCCCGTCGTCCGTCGACAGAACCGCTGAAAAGAATGGATACGAGTTCAACAGCATCGAAGACCTCGACCCTGAGGGCGAGCTCCGGATGGCTAGCTGCGTCCACACGCCTCACGACCTCCGCACCGTCATGGACCTCATCGAGATCTTCCCGGCGCCCCCAGCCCCGCCACCTCACCCCGTGATCCTCACCTCCGGGAACTCGCCCACACCGCCACCGCCAACGACATGCTCACACCAAGCCAAGAGGAAAACGGTACCAATGCCGATGCTGTACAGGTCAACTTTGCAATCGACACCTTCATCAGGGGACACGTCAATCCACCGTCCGTCGGGGAGCAGCCGCTTCGTCCCTCGGCAGCATGCACAAGGACCTGGACTACGCGGTACAAAATGCACGCGTGCGATCGCTGATACCGTTGCACTGCAAGCGGCGTTTCGATGGTAAAGTAGGAACCGTGAGGCTGAGGCTAGGGAGCTCATCATGAACGTTCTCCGCACGTGCCGTGCCTCGTGGGATCCTAGTGGACCGCGGCCTGGGCCAGGCCACGGAGAGGCGGGGCCGAGAGTAGCGTGTCACCGCGCTGCTGTCTCTGTCGCCAGAGAGTATGATGGTGCACGTGGTGGTGGTTTTCTTGGCGGGGCTGACGGATAGGGAGGCGGCGGCGTACGCAGCCAGATTGGCGAGGGCATTCGAGCGTGAGGGTGACAATGGTAGGTTCATGGCGACGGCGCAGCGACGGGCTCGAATCGCAGCGAGGACGAGCAGCTTGGGTGACGAGCGAGCAATGCGGCGGTGCGGTTGAGGCTGGATGTGGAGGAGGGCGATGATCGGGATGAGGTTTTCATTGCTAATTTCTTTAACAGGTGAGTGTATTCGCATTTAGAAGTTGGTTAACCCCTCAAAATGAGGTTAACCCCTTATTAACCGTCCAACATAAAAAAATCTATAATAAGGGTTAAAGTAAGTTAACCCACTATAATTTGTCAAACACAAAATATGTAGAAAAGTTAAGCTAACCATTCTAGAAGGATTAAAATGAGTTAACCCCTCAAAATAAGGGGTTTACTAATACTCCTATTTACAAGGATTAAGAGCTAACCATTCTAATTATAAAGAAAATAGTCAAACTCCTTGTTATTCCCAAACACTAAAAATGATCATAAAGGTTAAAATAAAACTTATATAACAGGTTAATAATTTAGTCCTTCGGATTATCGAGTGGGCTAACTATATTAATCATTCTCCTTAATCTCTCTTCATTAACCCTTTGCCATATGGGGCCAAAATTTTCTAAGATAATCTAATCAGATTGGTTAGAAAAATAACCATTCTTTAAAATAAATAAAATGATGATAATCACATTTTCTTTACGCAAACAAGGGGGTGTTTGTTTGCATGCAAGTGAAAGATGAAAGTAAAAAAAACGACATTTTTTTAAAGAGTTTAGATGTTTGTTTCTATGCAAATGGTCATGAAAGTGAAATACAAGAAAGTTGCCACATAGGATTTAATGTAATTTTTACTTTCCCTAAAAAAGTGGTGAAGTCACATGAGAGTGATATAATTGGTAACTGATTTTAATTAAATGATTTTAAACATATTTACTAATTAATCATATTCTCCCACGTCTTACTTTCAATAATAACTTTGTTTTTTCAAACAAACACTGTATTTTACACTTGTATGCTGACGCAGATGTGAAAGTCATTTGCAAATATATATATATATATATATATATTTTTAATTCACTTTCAAACTGCGGAACACCCCAGGTGCATAAGAATTAACATATGTCTTACTTATCAGGGTGACGAGTTTAACCTTTTGAATAGTCTAACTGACTGACTAACCCTTAATTCCACAAACACCCTCTTTAGTTTCATTATTTCAGATAGAACCCTGGGTAAATGTTTTTGGCGCTTTTACCCTGCTTGCTGAAATTTTTGGTAGATATCGTCGGAGGATGCAAGTAGCGAGTCCATATCTGAGAGTAAAGAGTCAAAAAGTTTTAACGCTAGGGGTCTATCTGCAGCAGTGAAACTACAGAGGTCATAAGTTCGATAATGATTCTATAATGATTGAATTAACATTGTGGTTTATGATGGTTGTAGATTTGTTGTGAATGGCGCCGTAACATATGTGGAGAGAACAGTAGGAACTTCATCAGATTTCATAAAAATGTTGTCATCCATGGAGCAAATATACTCATTATACATTGTGGGGAGGAAAGTGCAAGGGCCGGCAGCAAGACTAACAGCAGGGATGAGCAGCTGGGAAGAGAATCCAGAGTTAGGATCAGTAGGAGATCTGCTTGCTTCTTCAGATTTCTCATTAAATGGCTCTGTATTGGTTATCCAACAATTTGATTTTACAACTTCCTGACGATCTTGTAATTAGTGCCCTAGTGGGGATTTTCTTTCTCCATTAATGTACGGTCTTGTCATGAAGAAGTCGCAGTGTAAAACTCAAATCCCAACACAATTTATTCCCTTTTAATCCATCTTATTTGCATATTGTTTTTCCTTGAATCTGAATATTTGCTGGTTTATCTCTACATTCTATGACAGTGAATTAAAACATCCTTATCATTTGACAACGTTAAATTTCAGACTGAAAAGGTCTAGAATAACATCCTTCTCATTTGACAACGTTAAATTTCAGACTGAAAAGGTCTAGAATAACAGGAAAAAGTGCCCCTTCTCCTAAAATAATATGGAATTTTGACGCAGCGTGGAAGTTGTAGCTTCGGAATCCACCAAAGACAATCTTCGAATCCACGAAGAGCTTCAAATCCACGAAGTAAATATTAAAAAAATAAAATTCTTTTAATCAAAAGTTATACCTCTAGGGCTTACAAGATCCTACTTAAATAAAAAAAATAAGATTTTTACAAGAACTCAAACTCCTACAAGGACTCTAACTTACTAAAAATAGTACAAGAATTCCTAAAACATTAAAACTCCTAAAAAGACTCCTTATGACTAGGAAAGTCCACCAGTCAAATTTGAGATCAAATCGGATTTTTTTCCTAATCAAAACAGACTCCTAAAATATTACTAAAAATAGTAAAAAATGGACAAATAAACAGATATCTCTCAAATCGTAAGGAATTTGGAAAAATGGAGGAAGCAAACCAAACCTGTAAGGGTAGGTTTGGATGGCTCCATCTCGTCGAGATAGTTGATTTTCATATATAATTCGTCCAATTCCGACGAACGGTTTGAAAGTTACGACCATTTCTTCAAAACAAGTTATTTTCTTCGACCGAGCCCGCATTTGGGCTTGTGACTGTCCCACTTTAACGTGTCTGTCGTGTGTTCTACATCAGTCCCCCCTGCTTGAAAAGAGCTCGACCCCGAGCTTACACTTGTATAAATAGCTATTTTTTCTGGCGGGTAATACTCAAACAAATCTGCAACATTAAAACTAGGAGAGATACCCCAATCTGTAGGAAGGTCAACCACATAAGCATTGTCGCTACTCTTCTTCAGTATCTTGTAGGGACCATACTTCTTATTCTTTAGCTTGTTGTAGGTGCCAACGGGAAAACGTTCTTTTCGCAGAAACACCATCACCATATCTCCCTCTTCAAACACCTTCTTCCTCCTGTGTCGATCAGCATCATCCTTATATTTAGCATTAGATTGCTCTATCTTCTCCTTGACTTCGTGTTGGATAGCCCGTAACTTTTCAACCATATGATCTTCAGGAACACTCTGTCCAGGAAGCTTAGGCAGTGAAGCAAGATCAAGATAATGATTCGGAAGCCTTCCATACACAATCACAAAGGGAGCCTTGCCTGTAGTTCGATTCTCCATACAGTTATAAACAAATTCAGCATGTGCCAGAGTAAGATCTCACTGCTTCGGACGATCGCTAGAGATGGATCTAAGAAGGTTACCGAAAGTGCGATTTACTACTTCAGTTTGGCCATCCGTTTGAGGGTGATAAGCAGTACTGAACTTAAGAGAAGTATTGAATCGCTACCACAAAGTCCTCCAAAAGTAGGATAAGAACTTAGGATCATGATCAGATGTGATGGATTTTGGCACTCCATGAAGGCGAACTATCTCTCGAAAGAAAAGATTGGCAAGGTGGCTAGCATCTGCAGTCTTCTTACATGGAATGAAGTGCGTTGATAATCACATTTTATTACAATTTTATACCCTTATTATCTATTTTATATGAATAAATATACCACTAATAATTGTTTTTTATCTTTAATTGCAGGTTAGTGAAGAATAAAGCCCAAGATCTCTTATCTCAACAAAAACCCATGAATTAAATGAAGAACACAAGCAAGAGTCAAAAATCCCAAGCCTAGAATCAAGCCGAGTAGCCTGTAGAAGCCAGAGAAAATAAAAAAAATTAAATATGAAAAAATGTATCAAGATAGTTGGCTGCAAAAAAACGACGATATCTCCCAGTCCGGAAGGCGGAATTTAACATATAATATATGAAAATCGCCTATCTCGACAAGACGAAGCAAACCGTGAAGTCAGAATTCTTATTGGAGCATCGATGCCAACATCGATGTAGGCATCGATGCGGGCATCGATGCCTGTATCGATGCGAAGTCATCCAGATTGTATCAACGGCCGAAATTGCATTCTTGGGGATCAAGTTTGATCCAAGGGCTCTCATTCACTGATGTTTACTATAAATAGGGGTTGAGAGTGAGGGGTTAGAGGTGTGAAAATTTTGTAAACTCCTTTTGGAGAGGAGGGCTACTCTTAATTGAGAAGGTCTTCCAAAAATTGTAACTTTAGTTGCAATTAATAAAAATAATTTTTTCCTCTTTAAATTTGTTCTTTATCCTCTTTGTGGAATGATGAGGATGGAGATGAAGAGCAATTTGAAGGTTTGCATTTCTTTTCTCTTTTATTTTTAGTAATTTCTTTATTATTGCTTATTAGTTAGATTTAAATTCATGTTTGTAGTGTAGATTTTTTTTCTTGTCTTTTTATTTCTTTTTGCACTTTAATTTGTAGAATAGATTTATTTTTCTTACATTTAATTTCTACAATTTATTTTGTAGTTTATATTTTTATTTTCTTTGTAATTAGATTTATTTCTTGTTCATAGTTTAGATTTTTCTTTTATTTTTATTTTTGTAATTAATTCTTTTTCTTGTTTTCATTTCTTAAAGATGTGAATTTAATTCTTGTAGGAAGTTTAGAATTATATGAAACTAGTCTAATTTCCTTTATATTGTATGAATTATTCTCTTGCACTTAAAATGTTCATGTTTAGGATAATCAACTAGAGAACTAATCGGTAGAAGAAGAATTTGATAATCTATGCTTATCTTAAATGGTTTGATAGGTTATGCTTATGAATTCTAGGATTATTATCATGTTGTTGTTCTTATCATGAATAGTAATTTTAACTTAGATGATAATTTGATAGGTTACACTTTCCTTAAATGGTTTGATAATCTATGCTTAATAAATCTAAGTTGAAATATGATAAAAAGAGAATAGTTTATATTTTGTAATTGAAATTGGTTAGTGGATTATATTCTAGATTTCTTACCTCTTTTGAATCCTCCATCTTGACTTTCTTAAATTTTCTTTTCATTCTTGGTTTTATTTCTTGATTTTATTCATTCATCTTTCTTGCCTTGTGATTTTATTTATTCTTTGATTCTTTCTTATCTCCTCTAAAATTTAATTTATTATCTTTTGCATATATTCACAACAATCACTCATCATATTCACACTTATTCTTTATTCCTAATTGTCACGCACAAAATATAAGAACCAAGTTTAATAATCTCTTAAAATCACCTTCTTCGTGAGATCGATATCTTTTTATACTATAACTTGATAAATTGTGCACTTGCAATTTTGGTACATAATTATGCCGCATCATGCGTCATCTTCGAAAACCTATCAACCACAACATAATTAGAATACATACCTCGTTAGGTTCTAGGCAATCCCACCACAAAGTCCATAAAGATATCATGCCATGGTGCATTAGGAACAGGTAAAGGTGTATACAATCATGTATTCTGAGACTGTCCCTTAGCAACTTAACAAACTGAACAACCCTCATATATTTTTCTGCTCCATTCTTTAGCTGAGGCTAGTAATATCGCTCTTCAATAGAAGCAATCATCTTGTCCCGCCCCAAGTGTCCTCCTAACCCGCCAGCATGAAGGTCTCTAATTATCTGCTCTCTTAGCGAACTCTGAGGTATGCACAATTGATCGCCATGAAATAAATAACCATCCTGAATATGAAAGCCTTTAACTAATTTATTCTATTGGAAGTCATCCCAAACCTCCTTAAAGTCTTCATCCTTTGCATATATCTCCTTTAGGTACTCAAATCCAATCACTTCTGCTTGCAAAGTCACCAACAAACCAGCTCTCCGACTAAGTGCATCTGCAACCTTATTCTACTGCTCGGATTTGTGCTTTAAAACAAAGGTAAAACACTACAGATACACAATCCAACGAGCATGCATTCAGTTGATGGTAGTCTGACTATTAAGGGACTTCAGGGCCTGATGATCAGTATGAAGCAGAAAATCTCATGAGATCAAATAGTGCTCCCAATGCTTCAAAGATTGAACTATAGCATATAACTCTAGCTCATATGTGGTCTATTTTTGTCGAGCTTCGCTGAGTCTCTCACGGTAGAAAGTAACTGGACGTCCTTCTTGAGATAGCACATCACCAATTCCTACGATGGACACATCATAATTAACTTTAAACACCTTTTGAAAGTCTAGAAGTGCAAGCACTGGTGCGGTGGATAACTTCTCCTTGATCAGTACAAAGCTACGATCCGCTTCTACTCCCCAATTAAATTTGCCTTTCTTCATGCATTCAGTGATAGGAGCTACTATACTACTGAAATTTTTGACAAATCTCCTATAAAACATTGCTAGGCCATGAAAACTATGAACCTCACTCATAATCTTCGGTGTAGGCCACTCTCCAATAGCACACACCTTCTCTTCATCAACATGGATGCCCTCTATACTAACGACAAAGCCTAGGAATACAAGGCTACTGGTCATGAAGTTGCACTTCTTCAGATTGATGTACAATAACGACAAAGCCTAGGAATACAAGGCTACTGGTCATGAAGTTGCACTTCTTCAGATTGATGTACAACTTGTTCTCCTGTAAAACTGTTAGTCTACTGGTCATGAAGTTGCACTTCTTCAGATTGATGTACAACTTGTTCTCCTGTAAAACTGTTAGTACCTTCCTCAAGTGGTTCAGATGTGTAGTCTCGCTCTGGCTGTAAATCAGGATATCATCGAAGTAAACTACAACAAACTTGTCGATAAAGGGTTTTAATACCTGATTCATCAAACGCATGAAAGTGCTAGGAGCATTAGAAAGACCAAAAGGCATGACTAACCATTCATACAGGCCTTCTTTTGTCTTGAAAGCAGTCTTCCATTCATCTTCTTCTCTAATCCGAATCCGATGATAACCACTCTTGAGATCTATCTTAGATAACACTTTTGATCCAGACA